CAGTCTGTCTGATGACATTGTGAGAAGACCCATCAAAATAAAGGAACTATTCATATCACACTACTTTTTGGAAAAAGGGATAATGAGTTACTGAAAGAGGGAAAAGTTGCCAAAAGCCAAATTCCACTTTAAGCACTTTCACTGGAACTATTCTTTTCTCAAAAATCTGAATAATCTTTCATAATCTAATCCAGCAGGAAATTAATCATTGGTTACTTCCTTAAATATTTAAGCAAAATAGCTGCTGGATATATATATATTTTTTTTGTATTGAGGGGTGAGAAGACTTTCAACATTGACTTAATTTATGTCTGAAGACCAATCTGTGGCACAGCTAGACTAAATGATGGATACCGTGATTATATGCTTGTAATTTTTTTAAAATTTAAAATGTGAAATTCTATACCATCAAATGTAATTAACTCTGCAAGGGGAAATACACAGATACTAGACCTGTACTTGGATAAGAATGATAGGGTGTATCCTTTCCAAACAGTCCCAGGTTCAATTTTTCTTTATCTCCTATGAAGGCAGGGAAAGATTCCTGAAACCTGAGAAGCCAATTTCAGTTAGACAAGGATTCTGCCCTGCTGTCTAAACTGATTGTCTCCTCTGCTGGTCCAGTCTATTAAGCCAACTTCAGACATTCTTGTCCAGATTGCGGTGGGACTGGACTGGTGTTCAACTCTGGACTATGGTCATAGTAGGATGTGGTTGGTCATTCCTCTGTTCATTTCATCTTGCTGGTTGGTAGTCATGAGGACAGTCTTCCGGTGCTTGTCTCCTTCATTTTAGGGATTGCTACTTCTTCACTGGTTCACGTACTTTTACTTTCACAGAGTTGCATAAATGAATTCTTTTCGATCTCTTTCCCACATCTTCTCTTTCAATATTGATATAGACTCTATTTCTGTGCGTGTGACGGTATCATCATGGCTCTGATGTTACAATAAGCAATGCAACAGGAGAACGGGTTGATCTTCCACTGGTAGATATATAACTTTTTCTGTAAATTTATGAACACTTTGTAATAAGGATATATTAATAGTTCAGCTTAATGAAAATAAAGCAGCAACATTGTGACTTTAAAAATGAAAGGGAGAAGTTTTGCATTGCAAGGCTGTGGATGTGTGAGAAACCTGGGGGGGAGGGGTGCATTCTTAACCTCCTGATGGCCACTAAGAGAGAGGATAGTCCCTCCAGAGGTAAAGATAGTCCCTTGATTTAAGGGACCATTGTTAGTCATCTGCAAGAGTATTAAAAAAAAATGAAAGTTGATAAGTGGTAAAGAACATAGCAGCCTGGTAGTCCAGGATAGAATGGTTGCCCAGGTTAGTGACCAGCCATTGCTGGGAAGGGAAGAAATTGGGATTTGACTGGGGCTTCTGCTTAGATTGAACAAAGTAGTGAGGACCATACTGAAAGGCTTAAAATGGCCAGGTTGGAGACTGGCAGTTTGGAATAAAAGTGGATTAGCACAGGAGGGATTTGTGATGGGTTGGCAGTGGCAGTCTGAGTCATCCATTTCTGCAAGCTATTACTGGCAATTGGCCAAGCAGAAAGTGTGAGTTTGCCCTAAATAACTGGAAGATGAATCAATAGTTTGATTCCATATTTCTTATGTTCATGTGCATTTGCCACTGGATTCAAGGAGGTAGAGCAAATGCCTTGGGGAGGAAGGATGTAATCCTGTTCTTTATTTCTGCTTTTAGAATCTGACACTATGTACCTATGATGAATCTGTGCAATATTGCTTGCCTTTAAAAAAAAAACTTTCTTTAACGTGGCTGTAATGGAAATATAATTATTTCCAGAACTTTTTAAAAAGTTTTCATCATTAATTTTCCATGGGAAGGATGTGTTTTTATTTAAAATTTGAGAAAGCTAAATATTATCCTGTCACGATTATACACATATCGACAATGCTTTTAAGAAAGCAAAAGCCTTCACATGCATAAAATAGTTGTCATTGTTAAAAATGCAAAAACCGAAATATTACTATTTGCAAATGTTCAAACTATAAACTGTTTTGCACAAGAAATGTAGTATACTTGTAACGTATTAAAGAAGCTAAGATTGATTCCCCACCCACCAGGGAAATTTCACTGTAAATTTCTCTTGTCCCGGCTATTAAGAAAAAGCGGTATCAGGCGTTTCGGTTGCTTTCCAAAAAGAGTGAAGATAATAGTTTGCATTTAATATGAATTCTATTTTTATGGTCTTATTGTATTCTGCCTAGACTCATATTTCTGTGAAATGGGTGATGTATAAATATAATAAATGAATATTTAATGATATTCATTTGGGTTCAAAGGATGGGATATAAACACTTTAATTAAAAAGTTGGCAACGGAGAGTGAGACCCCTCAACACATTCGATCTGATCTGTTGCCCTTACTATTATCATCACTTCTGTTTTATTGTTTTTATTTCAATTTGATTGTTGTGAACTGCCACAGAATCACTGAGTCAGGCAGCATAAACATTTAATGTAATATTTCCCACATTATAGAACAAGGTAGTCTGTATCTCTTTCCATCACTTCATCACTTTCCCCCCCCATTTCCAGCTAGATTCCAGTATTCTGCGGCTACAAAAACAGGGGGACGGGTGGATCAAGTCTAGGTGACCTCCACTTTCCCTCCCTTTAACTGCCAATATAAAAAACAAAAGTGTGTGGAAAAGTGTTTGGCATCAGAATTTGAGAAAGCTGCTTTAGAGATTAGAGAAAAAATAAATGCCGAACCATCAACGTATCAAATTACCTGCAAGGTAAAATAATGCAAGCCAAGGTGAACTACAGGTAGTCCTCGACTTGTAATCAAAACTGAGCCCAAAATTTCAATTGCTAAGTGCAACATTTGTAAAGCGAGTTTTGCTTCATTTTACAACCTCTCTTGCTAGAGTTGTTAAGTGAATCACTGCAGTTGTTAAGTTAGTAATACGGTTCTTCAGTGAATCTGGTTTTCCCATTGGCTTAGCTTGTCAGGAGGTTACAAAAGATGACCACATGATCCCAGGACACTGCAACAGTCAAATATATGCCAGTTGCCAAGTGTCTAAATTTTATTCATATGACCATGGAGATGCTGCAATTGTTGTATGAAAAACGGACATAACTGACTTTTTTCAGTGCTGTTGTAACAGTCACTAAATGAACTGTTGTAGTAAGTTGGGGATTGCATGTATATATTTAAAAAAATCAGTTTCCTTTCACTTCCTTTCTCTTTTCAACTGTCTTTCCCCTAAAATCTTGTATTTGAAGAGCAACTGCTCTTAAATTCTTGGGCAAGAACAACTGTTTAGTACTAGTGATATTTCCTGCATTATTAGCCACGGGGAAATGCAATCTCTCTCTTACATACTGCATTTTTTTTTTAACAAAAGCCCCTGTAAAGTCTTTGTTTTTGGTAAGATCTATTAAATAGTAAATATATGGTGAACAACCAAAGCCATTAGCAGTCTTCTCCAAACCAGAACATTCCAGTTGTATTGGCATTGCTGTTTCCACCATTCCCAACCAAAAATTAGGCAAACTGGAAATTTTGGGAAGGGCTGCTCTAGAGAGTGAATAGTCATTTGGCCAATCCTGCTTCTACTGAGGCAGCTGCTGTCTCCCTTCCTTCTCCTACTTCCCAATGGGATCTATGTCTCATTTCTTATTTGAATTTATTTCTTGCTCTCAGGAAAAACAGAAGGGAGGTGTTGATGTACTTTTAAAAATGTCGTTTGATTGTGGAAGTGTTCCTGCTTCTAGTTCACTAACCTGTGTAATGTTGTTCCCCAAAACACTTTACACTTGTCCATGTAGAAAAGAAAGTTTATTATTCATGCTGCTCACCAGGATGCAGTCTTAGAAAAAAAAGCAATGCGGCTGCTTGGCACAGCACCCTCTTCCCCACATATTTATTTTCCCCATAATGAGGAGAGATCCCCATCCCATCTTTGATGGTTTTGAAGGCCAAGCATATCTTACATCCTGGGCTCGCTCTCTTCTTCTAGATCCGTGACAAGAACTGAAAGGCTTGAAGGAAAGTGCAGTGCAAAGGGAACAACCCTTACTCACTTGCTTGCACACTTCTCAGTCCAATAAAAACACCCCTTACACACATACACTTCTTCTTGCTAAGGTGTGGGTAGCCAAGCCATTTCTGGGGATGTTAGAATAGGCAGTTCCGATATAGGTGTGGTATTTGTGGCAGATACGTTGGATGCAGAATTGCAAGGCATATGATGGATTCATAGCTGCAAATATTTTCTCCTTGACCATAGAGACACTGGGGGAAAATCCAGTGTGAGGAAGGCAGAAAGGTGGGGGGTGGGGTAAATCACAAAATCATGCAAGGGAAGGATAATTACAGGTATCAGAAAATGGGGAAGGAGGCCATTGTCTTGTGATTAGAAAGCGAGGCTTCAGGCTCGCTTGAAAACTGTCCCCTGCAAACCAAAGAGGTAGCTGTATGGAAGTCAGTATGTGTGTGATTTTGAGTGGTGTGTTGTTCAGGGAGGGTATCTGAGAATCCCTTTCCCTGTAATGAATTATCTTGTATTAATGAACTCTTGCGCTTTGACTCACTTACTATGTTTAGTAAAAACTGCATGTACTCAAGTATTACTCAACTAGTTAAAGCTGGTCTATTGCTGGAGCCCTGGCATAGGCAGAAAACAACCCTGCAGTGCTGTCTGGATCCAGTCCAGGAATGGAAATCAAGATTGCTAACGGAATAGATGATAGTTGCCTCCTGTTTAATCGATGTTGGTAACCCTTTATTGCTCATAGCTGAAGCTGTCATAAAGCTGTCATAAGGCCACATCCACTCTCTGTCCTTGAGCCATCTTTTTTCCCCTTGACTCTCTCTACTTGTCCAATGTTCCTTACATCCACTCCTCACCCCCTGATCATATCCCTATTTCAACCATGTTGCAAAATAGCTTCACAGAGCTGTGTAGCTAATAGTGCAAATGGATACCCTGTTTATATCATATTTATTGGCATTCACTTGATTTTTACTGGTGAAATAGGGCCTACTAAGTGCAACTTTTTCCATATAATCTCTTGGAAATTGGAGTATGCACAGACTGTATGCCTGAATCAGGCATTACATGGTATCATAATATCTTTGAATTCAAGCAGTAATTTCCATGTTCCCTTCATTATCCCCTAGTTCTATGATATACTGAGCCAATTCCTTCTTTGCTTCCATGCCTGCGCTTTGTCTTCTATGTGACAAATTCGCTTTTAGGTCTCTCCAGGAAGCATTCTTGACATCAAAAAGGATAGCTAAGAGGCAGCATGCTTCTTGGGCATAGAAATAGATTATTTCTTGGGTAGCACCTTTGGGAAGTTGGGGTATTGCCATGGCAGGCTGGCAAAGCAAGCTTTTAGTAGCAGGAATGGTATTTTGCTGGATTATAAGTATGTTCCATGTTCTATATGATGAATCAGAAATATACAAAAATGCACCTTGAAGCTACATGTTGAAGAAGGGGGAGGCAAGCTGTAAAAATTCTGTATATATCATGTATGTATATGTATGCATGTGTTTGTGTGCATGCGCATGCCCACGTGAGGCCAAAAAGAGGAAATGTGGAAAATGTGGAAGATTACATATTCAGCATTTGATGCTTTTATACTGCCACCTGCCTCACTCACTATCACTCTTTTCTTGAAGCACTGCATCTGATTCCTCAGTGATCTGCAGAAGTGTGCTCATTTCAGGGCTTTCGCTTCTCAGCAGATCTGTGTTTTCTGTCTCATCTCCACCAACTTCCACCATCTCTGTGGCCTTCACTTCTACCTCTCCCTCACGGATCTTCTTGACATGAAAGGTGAAAGGTGGCACTTTATAGACAGCTGTCTTGGACCGTGCATAGACTACATGATCAGGGGTGAAGGACTTCTTCAGCTTATCTCGGGAAGTCTTCATCTTCTCCCTGCGTTCAGTGGTGACTATTTTTGTGCCTAGTTTGTTCATTCTCTTCTCCAGGTTATGTCGGGTCTTCTCCAGATTTTGCTTGGTTTTCTCCAGGTTCTCTTTGGTCTTCAGCTTGGTCTTCTCTAGGTTCTCTCTAGTTTTCAACCTGGTCTTCTCCATTTTTTCCTTAGAGAATGCCTTCTTGAAGTCATCAACCTTCCTCATGCTGCTTCTCTTAATACGTTCTGCTCGTGATTCCTCAATAATCTCTTCAACTTCAACTTCTTCATCTGAGGAGAGCTCAATATGATCCTCTCCAGGGTGCTCCTCACCAGCTGGGATCTCTTCCCCTTCTTCCTCTTTTTCCATTTCTTTCACAGATTTACTTATGCTCAGCTTGGATGGCAGTTTCACCTCATCCTGCAAAACATAAACAAAAACTACTGTGTGCATAATTTTTTGATCTTTTAGAAATTAATAGGCAGTTAAACTTTGCCCTTGGCTATGGTAAGAAAGCAGTAATTATTTTTAATTTTAGCTAAAACGGATTTGCTAATCTTGATAATTTAGTGTGTTGAACACAGATAGCAATCATCAATCCCAATCAGCTTAAAAATTTATAGACCAAAGTAGAACCTTACCTGGAAAATGTTTGATTGTTGTTTAAGTCTTTCTGTTATTTTGGTACCCTACACTTTGAAGAAAATTCCATATCTAAGCATCATATTCATATAGGAAGTCTGGATCATGATTTATAAATATTTTGTGGAATCTTTACAATACTTACTATATATTTCATATTCTTTTTGTATGGCCAAAAGGCCAAATAGTGATAATAAATTACTTCTGAAATAATATATAAGATTACCAAATTTTTGTGCAGTAACATATAAAAGTAGACAAAGAATAATCAAGAGCCATTGAACTTGTCTGAAAATGGCTTTGCCTCATCATTACCCACTGATCATTTTTTTCATGTCTGCTACTCTACTGTATCTACCTCAGATTTGTCTGGGGGTCTATGATTCTAAATTTTGGATTAGTTTTAACTATAAGAATCAAGCTTTTTAGCATATTTTTATATGCATTACTTCTTATTTATTGTTGGATGTTCTGTATATTTGAAAACAAATTATTTTCTTTTTTCTTTCTGCTGGCTAATGGCTGCACTAAATTTATTTTGATTTGATCGTGGCAAAAATGTTATTGTCCTATTCTTCCTTACTTTGCTTTTGAATGCCATACAAATGAGCTGCACAAAGCATTACTTAGCAAATCATGAATGATAGCTATTTCATCAGTGGCAGAAATGGAACTATTCTCAGCTTTGTCATAGTATGATTTTATGGACCTCTTTTTGCAAATGTTCTTTAGAATAGATATCTGTTCTATAGTTATTCTTTGCTTTTGGATGTCCCAGGTATAAAACAATAGCAGATACTTTGAATAAGTAACTCATCTTGAGTTACTCATGATGTTATAAAGGCAGGAGAAAAATCTAATGTTGTTAACATGCAACATGGTTGATGTTCATGGTTATGTCACATTGGGCAGCTCAATTCTTATTAAATTACAAATGATAGCTAACTTTAGGAAAGATGGTGTAAGAATGACTTTAATAGGTAATTAACTTTCAAAAGTATCTTAGATCATCAAAACTATTCATAGGCACTCTCACACATGCCACGATCTTGGAAAATTTCACTTGGCGGAATATGTTGCTTTAAAATGCTTTTTTGATATCAGCATGCTCAAATAATGATTGTCAAAGGATTCTCCTCCCTACCCTGACCAATGCATATAATTTGATTTGAAAATCTTAAGTAATGTAAAGAAAAGTAGGCAGTTAAAGATAGCAGCATATTTAATAGATCTGGAGCAATAGTAGCAACCATATTTTTCAGTACTCTCTGTTTCTTGGCAATGTAATGATGAGATAGGTAGGTAGATAGATAGATAGATATAGTATATACTTTTTCATAGATTAGATATCATTTTATTAAATGGAATGTCATCTTGAGTTGGCAGATGTGTGTATATGTGTATACTTTGTGTACAGAGAAAAAACAACTGTCAGGACAGGTAAGAAAGAAATACATACATAGAATATAGATACATATATTATTTGATTAAATACCCTTATCCTGTTAAGTCAGTTAACACAGTGTAAAATAGTTTAAAAGCACATAATCAACTTTGTCTAGTCTTTTGTCAGTAATTTCATCATGGATTCTGTGTTTGAAATTCATTTAAAAAGCTATTCTAAGATCAGAATCCATTTGCTTTGGGAAAGTGAAATAATTAACCTACTAGATGTCAGAACTGTTCTGAAAGTGCCTTTTGAAAAGACTGGATTAGCTAAAAATTTAATAGAGTTAATTATTATTTAACTAGCAACAGCTGCAGGAAGTAGCAGGACAGTAGGAGAAAAGAAAATCTATGTGGTTGGTTTACCTTTGCAAGATACCTGCCCACTTTGGCTTTTCTGAAAGCACATTTTCCATCTGGCTGCTGAAATTGTTCTCATGCTGGCATATAAGTGTAAGAATGCAGCTTTAAGCTATAACCTATATAACCTATGTTTGCTTTTTTTCTCTCTCCCTATCTTTTTTTTAAGGGAAAAACATTGATATTTGTATTGGGATTGTTTTGGCTAAAGAACATGACAAGGATTATTTAAACACATAAAAATAGTGGGATTTATTTAACACATGGCTCTGAAATATTATGACTGTTTTTATTTCTGCCATATACTGCAGACTGCCTGAAAGCATATTATGTAGCCTGGCATTGGTTTGGAACCAGGATGCAGAAACTATTGCTAAAACAATGATGAAAGGGATGGAGAAGGCAGTGTTCATATGTTATGCTAGGCTAGCATAACGTTGACTTGTTGGATAAATGACTGGAGTCACACAATACGCAAAACTGGGAATAATATTTTGGAAACTGGAACACCAATTTTTTAAAAACATGTTTTCAACTTCCAGTATAATATTATAAAATGATTGGTGTAGTGATTAGTTTGGTTGTAGTGGTTAAGACACTGGGCTAGAGACTGTGAGACTATGATTTTTAATCCTTCAATGGGCCAAAACTAGCTGGGTGCCCTTAGGTCAGTTGTTCCCTCTTAATCCCAGAATGCAGATAATGGCAAACTACTTCCAAAAAAACTTGCCAAGAAATTGAAGGGGCTTGTCCAGGCATCCATCAGAAGTCAACAAATATTCAAATGCTCACTCACTCCACTCCAATACCCCTCCACATATTTTTAAAAATATTTTAAAAATAAAATAATAGCTGGATATGTCAATAAGTGTGTCCGTAGGCATAGTGAGATATATGGCCATCACACTGGAGATCCAAGCCATAAGCTATAGTTTATAAATCATAATGACAGATTTTATACAGCACGCCTAACCAGAGGCAAAACAGCCATCTTATTGTGCTGACCCAGGCTTCGTAAATCGTAACTGTTCACAAACTTTTTTTAAAATCAAAACCTATTTTATTGCAACTCTGGGAATTGTTTTCATTCCCAGCCGGAGCTAATCTTAAACAGTCCCCCAAGATAAGTACATACCTTTCAGTTCTGTGGAATGCTGCCAAAAACAGAAGAATCCAATTAACTATAAAAGAAACCAACCAAAGTACACAAAGCTTCAAGGATGACTCGGAACTGATCGAACTACTTTGCTTCCTGCAAAGGTTTCATCATTTAGGCCTGACTTTTATCCCTTATGGGAGGAGCAATCACCTCCCAGCCTTACTCCTGAGTTGCCCCTTTTGTTTCAGCTGCTCTCGCATTCTAGCAGCTTTGCGCACATGCGCACTGGGAACAGGCTCCCCGGGTCCTCTGCTTCGCTGCTGCCAGACTCCGAAGGTTCTGAAGCATCCCACTCCCAGATGGTCCTGGCTCCATCCCTGCATTGGATGCAGGATCCTTGTCCAAGTCCTCTCCAGACTCTCTGACTGGTCCCCTTCCCCACTGTCTGATTCCGCTGCCGTCTGCACCAGCTACCAGCGAACCACAACACTTACGACTTAGCTTAACGTATGGCAGAACCCCCAAAGTGGAAGCAGTAGGCACCTTTAAGAAGCATTTGTCAAAGGTCTTTCTCTGCAGACAAGTAGCAGAATTCCATCTGCCATTTTATATTACTGAAAAATTTGTGCTTTTTCTACTTTTAAAACTTTCATTAACCTTAGTAAATTTGTTTTGAGTACAAATAACCAATTCACTATATATGCAAATTATTTTATGTACTGCAATATGGCTGCCTGATGACATTTAAAAACTAATGTTTTATGGACAATTATATTTGTTGATCTGGAAATGTCATCAGAACATTTAAATAAAACATGCTAAACAATGATTAAAAAGCAATGGATGTTTAAAAATGTAAATTAGTATTATAGCTGTATAATTTTTTTTCACTGAACTGCAATAGATAGCTATAATTAGATATGGAAATTCTGAAAAAAAAAGTAAATGATAGAATACCAATGAAAATCACAGTGGAAATGTCCTGAGTGAAGATTGGGTTTTCTATCTCACGGATGTCAAATATGATCGTGTCACGTGACGTATTGTGATGTTTTTTTGCCTTTGCGGAACTGGGGTCGGTGTGGCCTGCGCGTGACGTGTCTGGCCTGCAGGCCACCAGTTCGACAGGTCTGCCCTATCTGATTAATTAGTTGCAAATGCGAAAATTACACCTCTTGGATACAAAACCTTTTTCCCTCAAATAAATTTGGTTAACTACTGGTGTCACACAAGTTGTAAGAAGCTGAAAAAAGTCTCAGGAAAGTGTATTAATAACACAAAGCAAGTGAGATATACATTATATCCATGTTAAAAGCCTAATTGGAAGTAAGCTCAGTTAGGACATTTGTTGATAGGGCAGCTATTCTTAAAAGAGTAATTCTAGGCATTCAGAATATCCCACTACAAAACCCAACCTTTTCTTTGCAAATGAGACATAAACAATCTTGCTGAAGACTATCTAAGCATAGCAAGCCAGAGAACTGAGTGGATTGGGGTTTTTTATATGACACTTTCTAGCTATATAGTATTTCAGTGGCCTCCAACCTTTTGTTCATGAGGGACCGGTTCCTTGGAGAGAGGTTTTTCTGAGGACCGGAGGTGGTTTTGTGTGCTGCCTGCATTCTATGGGTGGGGCTTTGCTTGTTTGTGCAGCCCAGTTTCTGGCATGCTGTGGACCGATGCCACTCCATGGATCAGGAGTTGGGGACTCCTGCAGTATTTGACAGATCAGAATTTCTAATGAGAGGCCCTTGATGGGGTAAAATTTATCCCTACATCATCATTAACATCATTCCTTGATTTTTTAAAAATTTCTGTTAGGATAGCTAGTGGTAATTAGAAGCTCCAAGTTTCAGCACTGTTTTTAATCGGA